CCAGAAGTCAGGCCCCAGGGAGCCGGAGCTTGGAGGGGTGGGGAGAGGAGGAGGTGGGCGTGGCGTACTACGTATCCCGTGAGTCTCCGCGGCGGGCCGGGGCGGGCCACGGCGACGCGAGGAGGGGAGGCGGGGCTGAAGAGTTGGGTAAGAGCGTTGTTCTCGGCAGCAAAGGGTGCTCGGGGGGCCTCCATAGTGGTCGTCTAGCGCGTCCTTTTCATTTAGCGTCCAGTTGGGGGTCCCCGGGCGTGTGTGCTGCGTTTTCGCTCCGCTTGTCAGCGCCCTCACGAGCTGACCGCGCTGTCGCCTCGCGGAGGCTGGGAAACCTGGAACCACGCGCGCGTGGAGGGTGCGGGTGGCGGACGGGGAGTCCGGGGTCCGCGGGGAGCCGTTCACCCCTCTGCTTCCTGGACGCTGACTCGAACCCTTCGGCGATCATTTGAAGCAAACTTGGCGCGTTGCTGAGCGTCCCATAGTTACTCCGCACACTGCTGTCTTTCAAAAGATGAAATTGGTTGAATTTAGGACAAAGCTTTGGGATTTGGGGATTGTGCCAGCTGCCCTGGAATTGCTACCACCTTTGTTTTTTCCTGGATGACATGCTTGAGCTGTGGAGTTAGGAGTCATTGAAGTTGTTATATTGGGGGGTCGCAGCCAGTGGAGCCCCTCAAGCTCCAGGGCTGTGTCGGTTTAAAGCAGCGGTTCTCAACCTGTGGGTCGCGAACAATGAAAATACATCCTGCATATCAGATATTTACATTACGATTCATAACAGTAGCAAAATTACAGTTATGAAGTAGCAACGAAAATAATTTTATGGTTGGGGGTCACCACAACATGAGGAACTGTATTAAAGGGTCGCGTCATTAGGAAGGTTGAGAACCGCTGGTTTAAAAGAATAAACAAGAAAGCGGTCATTACTGGCAGGTTTCCCTCATTAGCCGCCAACTGGCAGCAGTGACGCTCCTCGCCACGCCCTCACCTAGTGTTTTGGCCACTGGGGGCTTAAATGTTGTTACAGGTGTGTGTGCTGTTGGCGGTATTTTTGCATGGCCTTTTAATTAATTCATCAGCCCAACTGTCAGCTCATCCAAGCACGGACTCACCTCTAGGCTTCTGAAAAATGCACAGCTGTTAGGAATAACGACCACTACTTAGTTACATGGTGTGTTCAAAATATTTAAACATCTGTATTCCTGTATTCATCTAGAAAGTCCATCGCTTCCGTGTGTTGGGCCGGGGCATGGAAGAGACCAGTGTTTTTAACATAGTGGACAAGAATCCTGTTCGTTTGCTTCGATAGTGTGCCGTTCAAATTTAATAGTTAATTCCTGAAGTTCATCCATAGCCAATCAGGGCAGCAGAAGGGGGGGAAAAATTAAAAACCAAGCGGTATGGTTTAGTTAGTAAAATATTGAAGAATGTTAACAAAATCGAAGTAAAGAATATAAGTTTAGCTTCAAAACTAAAATTATAGTTTTAGTGTAGACATTTAATCACATGGGGAAATGTTTATAATGCTGTTAAAGCAAATTGTCAGGTTCTGTTCAAGATTACAGACAGATATATTTCTATCTTTTCCTATTAAAACTACAATTAAAAAGTAAAGAAAAGAAAATATGCACATAACAGAAAAGGAGAGGGTTGGAGAATAATCAGTGAAAAACGGATTTCAGCAGATATCCTGAGAGTAACTGGGTATGAGCATGTTATCAAAGGGAGCTCAGGAGCTTTGGCACAGAGCAGGCTGGACAGGTGTCCACCACGGAGGTAGGACTTTTGCCTTTTCATTGTAGGTAGCAGAGCTCCTTTCAACATTTCTTATAAGGCAGGTCTACTGGTAGTGAACTTCCTTCCACTTTTGTTTGAGAAAGCCTTTATATCTCCTTCATAGATGAACGATAACTTTGCTGGATAGAATATTCCTGGCTGGAAATTTTTATCTTTTAGTGTTTTGAATATGTCAATTCACTCTCTCTTGGACAATAGAGTTTTTGCTGAGAAATCTGCTGATAGCCTATTGCAGCGGTTCTCAACCTTCTGGCCCTTTAAATACAGTTCCTCATGTGGTGACCCAACCATAAAATTATTTTCGTTGCTACTTCATAACTGTAATGCTGCTACTGTTATGAATTGTAATGTAAATATCTGATATGCAGGATGGTCTTAGGCGACCCCTGTGAAAGGGTCATTCGACCGCCAAAGGGGTCACGACCCACAGGTTGAGAACCACTGATAAAGGAAGTAGTAAACTTAATTAAAGACTATTCTTCCACAACATTCTGTCTTTAAGCAAATGAGCTATGTGACTTCCAAGCTAATATCCTATACTAATAAAAGACAAACATGCAAATTGACCATACTTTTGCTACACCTTAAGCCCCACCCACCAGCCAATCAGAGCGAGTATATGCAAATTAACCCAACCAAGAGGGCGGCCAGCAGCCACGGAGCTGGAGCGAGCAGGAGGCTTGCTTGCTCCAGTGATGGAGGAACCCAAGGTTCCCCGCCTGCCGCAGCCCGGCTCTGAGCTCCACTGAAAACAACAAAGTTTCAATTATAGAAGGTAAATAAATCCCAGAATAAAAAAAAAAAAAGATAAAAAGGAGGGGCTGGGGGCTTACTTCGCCAGGGTGCTTGGCCAGCCTGAAAACGGCCCTCAGCCCCTCACCCAGACTGGTCAGGCACCCCAGTGGGGACCCCCCACCCTAAAGGGGGTGTGGCCAGCCTGAAAACAGCCATCAGCCCCTCACCCAGGCTCGCCAAACCTCCATGAGGTGAGGGTCCCCACTGGGGTGGACATCCTCCGAGGGGTCCCACACTGCAAGAGGGCATAGGCTGGGCTGAGGGCCCCCCCCGAGTGCACAAATTTTTGTGCACCGGGCCTCTAGTAGCTTACATAAAGGTCAATTGAGAATGGCCACATGTAAGGAAGAAATAACTAAGCCAGCCTGAAATTAATACTCTCCTTGTTCAACCTATGGATATAATTCTAGACCGCTTATGGCACTATTACATTTGGTTGACAGTCTGAAGAGCTTAATTTTAATTATCTTTGTTGGATCAGTTATTTTCAATATACTGAGTAAGCTGGATACTCACATCCATCTGATATAGACCTAAAATATATAGATTGATTACTAAGTTTTGAAGTTGGCATTTAGCACAGTTAATCCGATTTCTAATTATAAATGTTTCCCTTGAAAAATTATAAAGCAGAAGAATATAGTTGCTGCCAAAGATATCAGCCTTTCAGTATGGAAATGAATTGTTTCTTTTCATTCTAATTTGATTGCTGATATTAGAAGAAAACCATCAGTTATCTACATTATTAAAACAAAAAAATATTTATTAAGCATCTTGGAGCATTTATTAAGCTATAAGCTATCCAGCAATATCTGCATAAACTAATCTCTGAATGATAAAGATAAATATGATTTTGCACTGATAATAGGCTCTTAAATTTCTGTTGAATCATTAAATATGGTCTACAGTTGACATAAAGGCACTGTTAATTAGATAAATGAATGAACAGTCAATGTTAAATTTATATCATAGAGAAGATTAAGGATAAATGCATTTCAAAGTTTAAAATCCAAATTAAGTTGTGCACTGGAGAAAAATCATGAAGGTAAGACAAAATAATTAGAGTGCTTTCATTTTGCATTGGTTTCTGCATATTTTAATTTTTTAATGTAACTACAACTATAACTCACTTTAAAGCAGTCTAGCAATGAAGTAAAACATTTATTATTGGTCTTTAGTGTACCAGGCACTGAAATGGGTTTTTTTCATATGCTGTTTCATCATTAAAATTAAAATTTCATCCTATAAATTATTATTACCTTCATCATATACACATGATAAAATTATGTTCAGATCACTTAACTGGCTTGCCTTCACTTAAAAATATCATAGGAAATGGAGCCAGAATTTAAATCCAGAACTACAGTTATTCAATTGATACAGCCATCCTCATTGCTACATGTTTTGAATATCAACACTGGTTAGGTCAGTCTAACTCTGAGGTCCATATTATTTCAATTATTTCATAATATTATAAATATTTAATGCTCCTCTTTGGCAAGTATTCTTTAGATGCTAACAAAATAGAAATTAACCTTCCCATAAGTGGATTTTTATGATGTGATAAATGGTATGCAGAGGGTGTAGAGACCGCTGGGGCACATAGTAGGGACATTGACTCCTACTTAATCATTTTTCAGGTTGGCTTAGACATCACTTCTCCTAAGTAGCCTGATA